GCAGAATATTCTAACGACTCTTTCTGGTCTGATATCACTGGGCCCTGTCCAATGCGATCGTTTTGTCTTTACTTCTACAGGTACAGTATATGGAACTCATGGGAGACGAGGGAGGCAAACTTACACCAGATACCAAACGCTAGAGTTAGAGAAGGAGTTTCATTTTAACAGATACTTAACCCGAAGACGACGTATTGAGATTGCAAACGCTCTCTGCCTTACTGAACGCCAGATTAAAATATGGTTTCAAAACAGGCGGATGAAATGGAAAAAGGAAAACAAATTCATAAATTCCACACAGCCCAGCAGCGAAGAAGCAGAGGAAAAGTCAGGGGAGTAGAACCACGTTTAATAAAGAGTACCAGGCCTTTCCTTAGCCCTTACTATTACTATTATTATTTAACTTGTGTTCCTTCTGCTACTAAAATACTGTAGGTTTGTCACAGTCTATTAATTCCCAAAAGGCTTGGTTAAAAGATGTAGATTTGCAATCATCTGTGACTTTCTTTAATATATGTGGATGTCCTGGCTTTCCAGCTACAGGAATGTGTATATATATAACCACCTTGCCACAGCATAGATGGCATTGCTTAAAGTATTAGAGGATTGGCCCAGATTTTAAAATATTTGAGGTGAGCATCTGTGTGTAATTCAGTGTCCCTAGTGTGCCTATGTAAGAAGAGATAAACGGGTGATTTTTTTTTTTAATTAGAAATGTTCGTATTGTAGAAATACCAGGAATTGTAGAAAATCCTGAGTTTACGTTTTTGCTAACTCCCGCTACATCAGGCCGTCTCATTATGCTGTGTTTAGGAGATTACGGTTTGCAGGGGATAAGAAAAAGAAAGTTTCACGCATGTGTGAGATATTTAAATAGCAAAAAGAAAAAAAAATCCTTTTAAAACACCGTTATACAACCCCCTGGGCATAAACTTGCAGTTAAAGTGAATATGAATCGCAGGGAGATTTTTAAAATGCCGCTAAACTGCCTAATCTGCACTACTGGTATTAAAGTAAAAACTCGGCGTTAAACTCCAGGGGAAGCGAGGGAGGAGGTTTCAAAGAGGGCGAATTTCTGTGGTTCTCGTGAGCTTACCCTGAGGTTTCGGGGAGCTCAGCTCTACACTGAAGGGGCTTTGAATTATGGACTATATTGCTTGGGGCTTCGTTGGCTTAGGTCGAGCTTCGAGCTTTTTCCTTTTTTGCTGTTCTTCCTTCTTTTTTTTTTTTTAATTTAATGTATCTCTCATAATAACTCGGGATTCTTCCCCGCTTTTGTGATATCTAAATTCACATTCGCATTTCTTAGCACTGGAAAAAATAAATAGATAGTCTAAAGAAAAGTAGCTGCCGTGAAATGCTTCAGCTTCGAGTTCAGTATAAGTAAAATAAGCGCAGCTAAAATATTGATTAATATATACGTTATACCTTTCTATATTATATAGTATATGCATGAGTGTGCGTGTGAAGCTGTGTACAAATACATTTGTATACGCATCGAGGCTCTTTTGTTTGGAAGGCGGCGCGTTTTGTGCTACCGCTCTAAATATTTTAAAAGTCAAATCTAGAAAAGTACTAATGCAAAATGGCTACCGCCGCATTTAGATGGTTTTGGTGGTTTGTTTCTGATTTTTTTTTTTTTTGCCTTTTTTTTTGTTTTCTCACCGAGAGGCAGAAAAATAACGGCGGCTGTAAAACCGCCTGGAATTTGACCCCCTAGCTGGAAATACGCTACACGATATTTGTCTTTCATAGGTACCTGCCCTATTTCACATAGACAGGACGCGTGTGCCTCTCCAAACCTCCGGTAGGGAAAAAAAAAGGGGAATAATAATAATAATAATTGTAATAAAAATATATATGTATAGAAGGCACATCAGCGCTGCCAG